AGACAACATTTCCATCCAAAATAAACGCACATTTCGGAGTATAACAATAACCTCTTCTTTGTCCTGTATTAAAACACAATTTAGTACCCTATTTTTTTATTAAGTTGCAACATTTCCATCCAAAATAAAGCACATTTCGGAGTATAACAATAACCTCTTCTTTGTCCTGTATAAAACACAATTTAGACCTATTTTTTATTAAGTTGCAACATTTCCATCCAAAATAAAGCACAGTTCGGAGTATAACAATAACCTCTTCTTTGTCCTGAATAAAACACAATTTAGACCTATTTTTTATTAAGTTGCAACATTTCCATCCAAAATAAAGCACATTTCGGAGTATAACAATAACCTCTTCTTTGTCCTGTATAAAACACAATTTAGACCTATTTTTTATTAAGTTGCAATAAAAAATACAAGTGAAATAGTAAACATTTAAATTGCTATAATGTCATTTGTTATTAATTAAAAAGTTATCCAGAAACAACATATAGCCTATTCTTTGAGTACAAAGAAGTACATATCTGTACACTCCAACAGAAGATAAAAAATCCACCTGCAGCTAGAACCCTTAGGTATATTAATGTTAGAGATGAGGATACATAGAAAATGTGACACTAGGTACTCAGTGCGAAAAATACCTAAGAATTTTGGTCCTGCTTGAGAAATAAAGATAAACAAACTTACATTAAATTGATCACAAATATTAATCTTTTAAGTTAATCCATCGTTTTCATATATATTTCTTCTATTCAAATCCGTAGACTTGTTAGCCTTTTTTTTTTTACTACTCAATACAACTGTTTCAACCTCATCTTTCTTACGCTGGCCAGACACCCATGAATATAACTGCAGTGTTGTCATACATTCTACATTTTCTTAAATTCTCAAATTAAAAGTTTATGACCAAGTTGTAAATAGAGACCTGTTTAGGGTCAGGTAATTAAAAACCCAACATGTATCTGGGTTTTTTGGGTAACTGTGCCAACCTATAAGTGAACTAACAGCATACTGTGATAAACAATAAACTTAGTGTTCTATTCCCTTAAGTCTTTATGAAATAGGCTCTACAAGAGCAACCAACTGTCTTGTAATATTTGTGATAAGTGTGCAAAAACAGAATTCTAAAAGCAACTTACTGTACAGAAATATACTAAATGTTTTTGTAAACAAAGTAGTTTAATGACTTGCAAGAAATACAAAAATCTTGTTAATAACTAAACTTAAAGTCAATGAAAGAAAAATTAACTTCTAATCCACTACAATTATCCAAGCAATCAACACAGTGTTCACTGTTAGTGAATGCATTCATCTGTGGTCCCAATAGCATCCCACAAGGTTTAGGCTAACTTATAAATAGTTCTAGGTTTGTCATAAATCTCTATACTAAGCTAAAAATACAAAATAATCCTCATTGTGTCTGTGTACATAACAAATGAAAAATAAACACAAACATTTCAATCAATATTTAGAAAAATTAGAATAAACAAAAGAATACAATGCAACTTATTTACAATAAATAAACTACTCATTTGCTTCAGAGTGCAGCAAAAATGAATGATTATTAAGATAAAAATAAGAATAATAACAAACTCATGCAATATCTAGTAAAATATTAATACTGTAATTAATAATAAAATTAAATGTTTCAAAATAAGGACAATTTACTAAATATATGAGCTATGTCTAATACATTAACTGTTCTCTATGCACATGCTGAATTTACAGAATAGGCAGCCAGAAATAATGGATAAAATTAAAACCTAAAATAATAAAACTGGCTGAAATATATATATATAAGCAATAGTAAGTTAGAAGAATATTAAAAGTAATAATTAGACTTTAAACAAAGAAGTAACAATAGTACTAAATATGACAACTAAAATAATTAAAACTAATATAACTAAACTATTGATGCAATGCATATTACGTAAGGAATTCTTATATAGCTTGCATTAACTTTATATAGTGGATGATTAAAATAACAAAGGTTGCCAAAAAAAAGGTGTTCATTATAATCTTAAAAAAATAATTTAAGAAATTAAATTGTATATGAAAGTTTTGAAAAGTATTCAATAAATTATTAACCTCATAATCGATAGTAACATAGTAATAAGATTAACGAGTTTACTGCAAATCTGAATAAATCTGGTATTCACAATGTGGTTGGAGAAACCTTGTGTGAAAAATTAGAGTAAGTTTATGAACTTTGACCATAAAGTCCTATAATATTGAACAAACTGTATCTAACAACCTGTGAGTAGTAAACATTGTAACATAGCTTGTTTGGTGTACTTGTATTCAGAAATAGAAACTTTATAGCCCTGAAAATAAGACTTTCTATTTTATTGAAAATTTATAAATACATATATATATTGATTAACAATGCTTACATTTAAAGCCACATAATGTTTTGTTTTTTTTAATTATTGTATTTACTGGTGTCAAGAAAACTTGTATATTTCAGTAAAAGACAAGCAACATATTCACAAACACAACTAATATTAGTCTTTCTTACAAAGATTACTTAAAAATTAAAATTCTAGTTCATATAAACAAATAGGTTTACTAACACAAAGCATTAATTTATCAGAATTCTTAAAATATTATGAAATTACTAATGAAAGACTTCTTAATGTTATCAATAGAAAGATTAAAGCAAATATTACTAAATTATAAAATGTTTACTGTTTTTGTTTTTAATTTTCTTTTTAAGTTCGATTGAATTACTGATGCTAATGAAGAGATTAATACATGCTCTTTCTTTGATGAGAATATAATATTTGCTTATTTCAGAATAATCAATCAAAGCTGAATAAATTTAAAATATTATTAAGTGTAACATAAAATCTTTAACACTGTTTCAAAGATGGTAAAGTGTAATAATTCAATCAATGTACACATATAGAGCAAGCCAAATCTTTCAAAAGTAATGCATAAAGTACCATCGTAAACCACTAAGTTCATTTCAAACAATCATGAAGTACTCAAAAAAAAGTGTAATTATACTAATAACTTTACACAAAAATCATGCAAATTACAAGCATCTACAGATGATGAATGTATACTTTATAGATTTACCTTCCTCCAACATTGTAAATATTGTAGTCCACTACCAGGTCTTTTCCCTCTACAAGAAATCGATTTAGTATTCGTTTGTGAACTAAGAGACGAGCCACTGTTTCATCTTCTCCACTGCTAACCCCACAAGCAGCAACAAGTAAAACAACAGCACACAAATATCTGAAGAACTGGAGAAAAATTATTTTAAAAAATAACATTTATTAGTTGGCATACTTCCCTAAGTAAATAAAAAAACAACACTATTTACCATTAAAAGAACAACCTTCTCAATAGTGTTTGGACACTGAAGATATGAAGCTAAGGGGGGTTGGCCAGACTGTGTTCCTGTTGCACAAAACAGTAGAAATGTTTTACATTCAAGGAAGCAGCACACTTAGCCACTTAACGGCATCAAATAAGCTTTGTTGAGCCTTCCTCAATCATCTCTATCAACAGAACTTGTGAAAATATCTTTACAGAGTTGAGGAACCAGTTCTTATATTGTGCAACTTGTTCAGCCATTACTGTGTTGTGTAAAATTTTGGATAGGGGTATGGGTTTTACTCCATCATGCCCTAGAAACTAGTACAAATTTAAGCATATTGGTGAACAATTCAGAATTAAAAAAAAAAAAAGTACCAGAAAAGCTAAATCTAGGAATCAATCCACCAAAAATGTCTTCCTGGCTTGCAGACTGGGTCTTAAGTATAGTGCTGGCATATCTATATAATTTTTGACCCATTTAAAAACTGAACTTATAGTTAAATAAATACAAAGTATTTTAAATTCTAGTTTTAATTGATTATTGTCAAAATGTATAAATATAGTCATCTAAAAATACACAAAATGTTATTCAACAAAGAGTTAACCTAATAAAAATTATGATTTTATTGGTGTAGAAGGTGATCAAGAAATGAATAAAAATAACCAAAAACAAATAAAATAATAATTGACTCTTACGAAGAAGTCGCCTTATAAGTTATATAGTGCCCAAGGCAGAACTTAACTTCTTAAGTTCAACTGTTTGATTACAGAGTATGCAAGCTTTACAAGAATAGTGTTATGTGTGAATTACGATTATAACAGATAAATGTACTGTATAGTATTACTATAAGCAATTAGAATTGAATAAAAACACTATAAACCGAGCGCTTTCGAAAGGTGAACCTTTCTTATTCAGGGTGAAACTGGAAATGTTGCTATTAGTAATTGGTATATCCATCGGCGACCACATGGATGCAGCAATTCGTGGCGCCACGCCGTTGAACTTGTTGAAGTATTACGGTTAGGTTTTTAATTTTCAAGTTTAAAAGGTAGCACGCTTAAACAAATACACAATGTGCACATGCAGTAAGAAATAGTAATCAATAACTTCATTACCATTATTTTACATTAAATAATTAAATGTTTTATAAATAAAAATATCGGGCAAACTAACCATGCTCACGTCTACGTGGCTGACACAAGCTTAAAGAGAACGAAAATGGTGATAGAGGGCACCAACTACAAGAAATTACTTTAAAATTAAATATTTAAGTAAAAGCCTAGTGCTGAAGTTACTACTTAATTAAACACCAAAAGACGGCGAGCTATTGGAAACCAAAAAGCCTAAAAATTGCTATAGAACTAGATTTAATTGCAAATTTTTTTTTGGATTTTTGTGCCTCTGATTTTGAAGCCGCAATGGACAAATTAAAAAGTATCTGAAAAAAAGAAAGAATAAAAAACACATCCACAGTTAATGAGATTTTCACACAGTGGCACGACGGTATGTCGGCGGACTTACACCACTTGAAACCAAATTTCGATACCTATGGTGGGGAGAGCACAGATAGCCCATTGTGTAGCTTTGTGCTTAGCTACACACAAAAACAAACTTTGGATCTATTGATAACTTGAGAAGCTTAAGTTGCCTAAAAAATGGTAAACCTTATGTTTTAAATACGTTTTCCATAAGTCAATAATTTTATTTGTTCAAAGGGTGTTTGAACTAGATTTCATTATATGTTTTACTCGTATATATTATTAGAAGAATTGTAGTCAGCCGAAAGCATTATTATTTTATTTAATTATAACGTTTTGTGTGGATTATTATATAAATTATTATTCAGATATTCATCATATATCTAGATAGATATTTAAATATATATATATGTGTTTAAGGGTATACATGTTTGTATAAACATATTTAAACATGCAAGACATTCATTGACAATAGCATTTTTAAGATTATTTAATTAAACTTCAGTTTCAATCAATAAAAAAGTTGTAATAATTCTTATTCTGTTTCTGACGTTACTGATTCTGTACTCATTAAACATAAAGATATGTTCTAAACTAGTTATAGAAGGGTAAAATTAGTAGATGTTTTACATAGCTAGAAGTTCAAAATGATGAAGAAAAGTTTTGTTTGAGATGTAACATAAAATAAATAACTATAGAAAACAATTATCCAAAATCTGAAAAACCACAACTTAATTTTATGTCAAACAATAAAATCAGCATAGCTTCATCAAAATAAACCGTAAAATTTATAAATGTAAATTCAAAATAATAACAATAATGACAGAGAAGAATGTTTAAATAAAAAATAAGAAGTAAAATATACTTTTTAAATTATTGTTTAAGATATTTCGGATAACTTATCAAACATTACAGGGTTAGTGTGACGCTAAGGCGTATTTTTGAATCATTTTCTAAAAGCTGGTAGATGGCAGTAAATTACCTGACACAAGGTCAACCATTAACCTATTTGAGAACAAAACATTAAACCTTATATAAATATATACAGGTTATATTATATAGAGGACAACGAATCAAATATATAAATATCGTATTAGAAACAACAATTAGCTTGGAGAACACTTTTCGAATGATTTGAGTAGTAATACTCGACACCATGTTATTATTCGATGACGAGGAAACCACTTTGAGACTAATAAGGCTTGGAATGGGTAATGAAGAAAAACTTTAATACAAGTTTAACATAACAACAAATATACAACGTTTCGACAAGGTATGACAATTATATTAAAGTTTTTCTTCATTACCCATTCAAGCCGTCTCCAAGCATTACGATGTTATTATGTTTCTTCAATCAACCAAAAGTATTTTACCACTTGATCGCTGTATGTTACTGAACAAAAAGTATTTAATAAAATTTTTAGAACTTCAATTAGCTCTCTCGACAGGTTTGATGAAATTAATGTTTTAAAAAGGCGAAATTATGTCACATTATACAATAAAAACAAACAATGCATCCAAAAATGTGAAGAACGTCAAATGGGTAAATTATTTTTCAGCATATAAATAAACATGTTATATCTCTCAAAAATTAATATCTAAATGTATAGTCTTCAATGATTATTGAATTGTACTTTATTCCCTGCCATGAATTTCAAGACTGTTTACTTCAACATCATGTCACAAAGTGTATTAAATACTTTTCTAGTACAGGTATCCGAGTTTTTGATTAAACTTTAAAGTGCAAGCACATTATCAAATAAAATAGTTTTTCATGTTGAATTATACATTCTAATAACGAAAAAGGAAAGGATTGGATTTTTGTTGTTGTTGTTAACGTACGTGGCTTATTTTTTCCCCAAAATCAGCCTCACTGTCGTGGTACGCACAAAAAGTTAAGGAATTGACGATTATTAAAAATGGTTATAAAACTTCACTCTTTGCTAAAGCTCAAAATATAACTGGTCTAATCCTTATCCACTTGTTAGCGTGCAAATACTATTCTTATAAGCCATTTTTCAAAATAAATTATTCTACATGGTGCTTTCGTAAAGTAACTCCCTACTCCATTTCAAATGTTTCAAAACTCCGCGTTATCTTTTGGTCAAGATCGTAATTATTAATGAAAATATTCTTTATATTCATCAATGAAGAGAATATGGGTAATTTCTTTTTAAGTAATTTGAAACGTGCTCCAGTTATGTATGAAAATAGGCTTCTACTCTTTAAATAATTTAGAGAGTGTACCTATACTTTTCTGAACCAGTAACAGTGTGCAAAAAGTTGCCTCTTTTTTGAATTGTTGTCTCGGTCATTATTTACCAATCCATACATCTAAATGAAAATTTTAACGGAAGATTAAGTCAAAGTTGTGTTCCTAATCAGACCTGTGGTAGAGATAATTCTGGTCTTTAAAGAAACCAATCCTATAAGATTACTTACTAATATAATGTGTTTCAAAACGAAGAGCAAATAAATTTAATGTTTTAGGCTATTAACTAAAATGCTTTAATACATAAGATGGATATATAATGTCGTTTATTGAAGAAAAGAGGCACAATTCTTTTTCTTGAAAAATATTTATTTAAATTTGCCATAGGAAAATTGAAATATTTTATGTATATAACAAATTATAACACACTAAACATGACTTAATGATTGAAGCTAAGACAAATAAATAACACAAAATAATTGAAAAATATTATTCTACAATTAATTATAAAACATTTATACAGCAAGATTAATTAATTAATCAACTTCTTCAATAGTGGGTCCTCCGCTTCCACCACCTCCAGGAGCTGCTCCACCACCATGAGGCATGCCTCCTTCTGGCATTCCACCAGACTGATATAACTTTGTAATGATTGGATTACACACTCCTTCCAACTCTTTCTGCTTGTGCTCAAATTCCTCTTTTTCTGCCAACTGAATATAGGGAAAATTTATTTTTGGCATCGTTATTCAAAATTGTAATTTTTAAACATTTTAAAGCATCTACAACTTAAATGAACATTATCATGTGGAATATTGTATATAAACTAAATTACAATATTAGGAAATGGAAAATGAAATTATAATACTGTATAATGTTTGAATTGCTTTGAGACAAATTCTCAATTTGTGAAAAATTACTAAAAATTGATGTTTAAGATTTATAAATTAAGAGTAAGATACAACAGTTAACAACTAGATATGAAAGTGATTGAACATTAATGCCTGTTTAGAAGTTACTAATAAGCATGTATTGAAGAGTTCCATTTCTGGAAATAGGATTCAGAACAATATTTTAATATTATACACGTGTTTTAATTACATTAAGGCATCAAGCCTTTTACTAACCTGATTACTGTCTAGCCATTTGATAGTCTCCTGAATTTTATCCAAGATTTTCTTCTTTTCATCTTCAGTGATTTTGTCTTTCAATTTCTCATCCTCTATTGTCGATTTCATGTTGAAAGCATAACTTTCTACGTTATTCTTTGCCTGAATTCTAGATTTTTGTTTTTCATCCTCTTCTCTGTAATTCTCAGCTTCCTTCACCATCTTCTCAATTTCTTCCTTGGAAAGGCGACCCTTATCATTGGTGATAGTAATCTTATTTTCCTTCCCGGTGCTCTTGTCTACAGCAGAGACATTCATGATGCCATTAGCGTCTATATCAAATGTGACCTCAATCTGTGGGACTCCACGAGGAGCAGGAGGAATACCACCCAACTCAAATTTTCCTAGTAGGTTATTGTCCTTAGTCATGGCACGTTCACCCTCGTACACTTGAATAAGCACCCCAGGCTGGTTATCTGAATATGTTGTAAATGTCTGGGTCTGCCTAGTAGGAATTGTAGTGTTCCGTTTTATTAGGGTGGTCATGACACCTCCAGCAGTCTCAATTCCCAGGGACAGAGGCGTGACATCAAGCAGTAGCAAGTCTTGGACCTGCTCAGACTTATCACCACTCAAGATTGCAGCCTGCACGGCAGCACCATATGCAACAGCCTCGTCGGGATTAATACTCTTGTTGAGATCTTTTCCATTGAAAAGATCCTGAAGAAGCTTTTGGATTTTTGGAATTCGGGTTGAACCACCAACAAGCACAATCTCGTGAACTTGAGCTTTATCCATTTTTGCATCTCTTAAGGCTTTTTCTACTGGGTCAAGGGTGCCCCGGAAGAGGTCAGAGTTCAACTCTTCAAAACGAGCTCGGGTGATGGTGGAATAGAAGTCAATGCCCTCGAATAACGAATCAATCTCGATACTGTAAATAAACATGGAAGAAATTTAATACATCTATTCATTTTTTTTTTTGTTGTTGTTGTTTATTTATTTTTATCATTAATGCATATTAAAAGTGGACATTCACACGTTAAGTTGACAGTATTCTACAAAATCTTATTGTAGAAAGTTTTACTGGCATATACAATAAATAAAATTATTTCAATGTAAAGATGAAGTTAACTTCATTTTGTAAAACTAAAACTTAACAACTTCTTGTATAATGTAGATAGATGAACGTGATTATTATTTTTAATATCAAAATTCAGCCAAGTAAAGCCTATTCAGAACTTATTACTTGTCCCCCTCATTTTGTTAGGTTTTAACTATAACACCCCCACATATCCACGGTAAACTAAAAAGCAGAATGGGTGTTTAACTGAAATGTTACAGATCTATCTACCTGGCTTGGGTACTAGAAGACAATGTTCGTTTTGCCCGCTCACATGCAGTTCTCAACCTTCGTAAGGCCCGTTTATTTACAGTAAGGTCTTTCTTGTGTTTCCTCTTGAATTCTTGGACAAAGTGGTTGACCATACGGTTATCAAAGTCCTCTCCGCCCAAGTGAGTGTCTCCAGCAGTTGATTTCACTTCAAAAATTCCGTCCTCAATAGTCAAAATGGAAACATCGAAGGTCCCTCCCCCGAGGTCAAAGATCAAGACGTTTCTTTCTCCAGTGCCCTGACAAGTAACAAGAACAACTTTTGTAACTCTTATGTAACTAAGAAAATAAGAAATAAAACGTTCAGAATTAAGTTCTTACTTGTACGTGTTTGCAGACGAAGTTTTGAAAAACTTGTTCTGTTTAAACATAACGAGAAAGTTATGATAAATACAGCAGTCGTTCCTGCCTAATTTTACAGCATTTAAAACTAAATATTAATTTGTTCGACAAATGCGTCATTTTCCTAATATAAACGTAGGTAAAGCATGGTACAGTTTTATACCTTCTTGTCTAGACCATAGGCTATGGCTGCAGCCGTTGGTTCATTGATTATTCGAAGTACGTTTAACCCAGAAATGGTTCCAGCATCCTTAGTGGCCTGCCGCTGGGAGTCATTGAAGTATGCAGGTACAGTGATGACGGCATTTGATATGTTCTTTCCCAAGTAAGCTTCAGCTATTTCCTTCATTTTAGTCAAAACCATAGAAGAAATTTCTTCTGGAAAGAAGTATTTTGTTTCTCCCTTATATTCCACTTTTATCTTTGGTTTACCTGCTTCGCTGATTACTTCAAATGGCCAGTGTTTCATGTCCTGTGCAACTGTAGGGTCATCCCATTTTCTGCCAATGAGACGTTTGGCGTCTGAAGAAAAGGCATTGATAACATTATATTACAACTTCTAAATAAAATAGTAAACAACTATTGCTACTACAAAATCGTCAACAGAAAAATCTAATTATCAACAAGTAAAACCAGTGAGAATACTCGAAAGATATTAATTCTAAGTACTATTTTATGTATATAGGAGTTTTGAGACTAGTTTTAGATATATTAAATTCTGAGCAAAAATATTAATCTATCAAATAAATTCTTAACATATTTAAGTCCATAGGTTTATGTAACAATAAATGGTAAAGACAGTTTCCCCATGTTCGTACATGGAATAGTTGAATTTAATAAACAAGTTTCTACGTCGTTAACGTTTCACATAGTTTGACACTTACCGAATACGGTGTTGTTTGGATTCATTGCAACCTGGTTTTTGGCTGCGTCACCAATCAGTCTTTCAGTGTCTGTAAAGGCAACATAACTAGGAGTTGTACGATTACCCTGATCATTAGCAATTATTTCAACCTTCCCGTGCTGGAAAACTCCTACACAGGAGTAGGTGGTCCCCAGGTCAATACCTATCGCTGTAGATTTGGCCATTGTCCTATAGAAACAAGTAATGAAACCGTTATTCGAATAAAAATTCGGTGTTTATTTAGTAATAAAAAACTAATTCAATTTATCAAACTTAATAAAAAACGTTTCAGATATTTATACTGTAAAATGAAAACGGGAGAAAAACAATATTATCGAAACGTTGCAATTCATCTTATCCTCAAATTCACTTACTTGAACTTACTAAAAACTTTGTTCAATTAATTCTTTCTAGATTCTTATTTCTACTCAAAGAAAAATAGCCATTTTGTTTAAAGACAATTACGTAATCGTCAAGTAAAATGAAAATATACAAATTTATAAAAAACAATACTTACTTTTTACTGAGAATTCAAAATGTACAGTTCGCCGAAGTAGTAATCTTTTATCACTCTCAGTGCTTTTCACTTAACTAGACAACATGTAAGCTAAACCGCCAGCGCGTCAAGCTTATATCTGCAACCGGCAACGGATGTGACGCATATTCGAGAAAGTTCAGTATCAGACTAGAGCTACGATGTCATAAATTCATGGATTGTTCCAGAATAGACGGGGAGGGGGATTTCCTTGTTAGAAGTAGTGTAGTTGCTAAGTCGTGGTTCGTCATGTTCTATTTTAATATAGCTAGAACATTCTTCAAGTACCTATACATATTTAGCGATTACTATTACTTTTAATTTTGGCTAGCAGTTTATAAATTATAATGAAGTTGTTTATTAATAATATCAGTAAAAACTAATATTACGCTTAACTAGTGAGTGAAATAATTAAAATGTAACTGGCAAAAGTAAGTACTATAAGCATAACTTAAGTTATTAAATGGAAACTTAATTTATAAGTTTGTAATTTAGTTTAACGCTAACTACGTATTGAAGTAAAAAGTTTTAACATATCGTGTTTTTCATAAATTTCTTATAAATGGATAAAATTAAAAATATAGCGTACAAACCATCGTGAGTAATTAAGTAAATCGTCGATAGGATGTATTACTATTAGTATTACGTCTAATTACATGTATTTTATTAGTTTATTTTGGCAAGCTTTATTTTGAAATAGACGTGTCACATACCAAGTCTGTTAGCTATCTTTTATTAATTATTTATTCATTACGTATTAAACTTTTAAAGACTATTTCGATCAAGACCTACTTTTATTAAAACGTATATTAAAATATTTGGGCATTTTTTTTTATTTTAAGATTTATGTTAGTTTTAAAAGTAAGGGGTTTTATATTATATTTAGATGATGTTTTACGATTGATTTTTATCACTTTTTTGTGTATTTGAATATTATGCACCTTTTTATTTTCTAAATAAATTCTAATTTTTCAGAACTTTAGCTTATTAATCACTTAGTCAAGTAACACTGGCCTAACATAATATTAATAGTAAATTTCACGCACTAAAACATTTACCCATGATTTGTGGCTGAAAATATACTAACATTAGTAACAATGGATTTAAGTCCTAAATGTTACAAAGGACAAAAAGCATACAACAAGAAGTCTTCAGTCATGTTTTTAACTGTGGTTTTCTAGGCTAATGCAAATATAATATTCCTTAAATCAGTAAATTACTAAATGTGAAATTTATTTAGTAGTTATGAAAAACAAATCTTGGGTTAAAGTGAAGGAGAAAGCTCCTGACCATAAGTATAATGGGATATGTCTTAAATTTAAAACACAAAGTAAGAAGCTACTGTATTGGAAAGTGATAAGTTTCTGTTGTAAAGAACTTTACTGATGGAGAACCATTCTATATGAAATAATGAACTATGAGGTTGAGTTGTTGTATTGGAATCTGTTATTTGGGAAAAAAAGTGTTAATATTGGAGTTGACTTAACAACATTCACTGTAATTTAGAAAGGTGCAACTTGGTCTGCTAATTTACTAGAGTTCCTGCATCTTATCAAATAAGAAAACCTTCAGACATGTTGCCTTGACTTTTGGAGAGTAAATAATGGTTGAAATTAGTGCATAATGGCCAGTTCTGTAATTGGATATGTATGATTAATATGTCTTCTTAGACCCTTGTAAATAATTTAAAATTTATTTATTTGTATTTTTATAAACTATACTGAGAACAATATAGGCTATAGAATTACATTTGTGTATGACATAATACTGGAGATGAAATATGATACTGTGGTGGAAAATCCAAGTGAAACTGAATTAATCTGAAAGTTATGCTAATGGATATGCTTGCTGGATAACCACCTAAGATATTGATTACAAAATAATCCTCAACTTCTTTCTAACTGAGCTAGTATAAAATGAAATAAGACTGGACACCAAGTGTACAAATGAACAATCTTAATAAAGATACTAAAATCCAGTGTTTGTACTTGCTGTTAATTACATGTCATGATCACCTATGAAACTTCTATGTTCAGTAGTTTAACATATAAAAGTCATTTAACTTAGTTTAAAGTTATGTTTGGTAGTCAACATGGTTGCACAATAAATAAGAAAATCTTGTCTTACTGATCTTCTGACATTTTTTGAAGAGGTTGCTTGTTATATAGATGAGGGTATGAGTGTGAATTTGGTGTATGTGGATTTATTTTCATAAAGCATTTGACAAGGTTCCACATAACAAGCTTGTTAAAAAAATTGAATATTTAGAGGTGTGGAGGATAGGTTGGATCATTGGATAGAAAAATGACTAGATGGAAGAAAACAGAGGGTTGTTTTAAATGGAGTTTGGTCAAACTGGATTAATGTCACAAGTAGACTACCTCGGCTCATTGTTGGGACATTTACATTTTGGTTTCCAGCAATGACATGGATGAAGGAATGGTTGATAAATTATTTAAATTTGTTGATGATATTAAAGTTTGAGTGTTGCTGATTGTGAGGAGTGTGTTGCTACTTTACAAAAGAATTTGGACTGGTGAATTGGGCAAATAAATGGCAATTGGCTTTTAATTATTATTATAATTTTAGGTAATGTATGTTTGATATCGTAATTTGAATTATAATTTTAATGAGGATAACCTTAACAGAAATATGGAAGAAAAGAATCTTAGTGTTTTGATTGATCAGTCTTAAGTTATTCAAGCAGTGTAATGTTTTTAATGGAGGATAAATAGGATTTTAGGTTGTATCTATAGAAATATTAAATACAAGTCTAAAGAGGTTATAATTTCATTGTGTAAATTGCTGGTTAGGCTGCATTTGGAGTATTGTGCTCAACCTTGAGTTTCTTACCTAAGGAAAGACATTGAATTATCAGAAAGTATCCAGAGGAGGGTTACTAGGATGACACATAGGACAGGTTAAGATCTTTGAAATTGTTTCTCTTGAAAAAAAGAAAAGTTAGAGGATATCTAATTAAGGTGTTTAAGATTGTTAAGGGAATTGGTGGTGTTGATGCATTATCTTTTTTCATACTGAATGGTAGGGCTAGGGGACGAATATAAATTTTTATAGTGAGGAAGTCATCTGTAGCTAAGTCGGCTAGTTTTCTAGCAGAGTGTTTGGCCTTTGGAATCGGTTGGCTTTGGAAGTGGTGGATATAGTAAATTAATCCTTTTTCTGCCTAATTCGGATATATCCAAATATATATTTATACCCATTGACTGCGAAATTTGGATTTACCTGATGGCTACCAAAAAAGTTTCCCTCTACTACAACATGCGGGAATATCCCCTGTACTTGAAACAATCACCAAACCTGCATGCATGCTGCTATCTGTGTTCTACGCCATGACACCTGGATGTCTATATGCCTCTTTACAAAATTGCTAACTTTGCAGGAATACATCTAGAATCTATATATCCTGGATATTGTTATCTAAATAATTTGTTTTATATTTTATAATGATTTTGGCCTCTTATTAACATAGTTTTAACTATATTTATGCCATTTACTGGAGAACACTTTTCTTCTAATTTTCGTCTATTTTTTGTTTGAATCATTATTTTTCACTATCCAGTTTGATTTTCAAGGAATATTACAGTCAGGTATAGAAAACATAGAATCTTTCAATATTGAAAAATTAATACAAAGGATTAAATTCATACTTATATTTTTGGGGGATAATTGACACTTTTTGGGAATCAGCCTGAAAATTAATTGTGCAGTAAAAGGGTTAAAAGAATATATTCGAATGATAAGGGTTGGCTTTGAGTTGTTTTATTTTAATTTAGTAGATGGGACGTCCTAAAGAAAGCAATAAGCTCCTTGTTCTTAAATTTTATTTTACACGTGCAGCAGGGACAGATATCTTATTTTAGGCTCATGCCGATGGAGTATTGTGTTAACTCTTTCTTGCCCCTGAAAATGTGTACCATGTAGACATGTCAACCCTTGAATAAAGAAAAATGTAACAAAAATATCGTTAAACAAAAAAATATATGATCTTAAGCCTTTTATTTTGATATGAAATATAACAGATCACAAAGAAAAACCCTATAATACAAATAATACATAATTTAAAAAAAATCCTATAACAAATAATACATAACACAAAAGAAACTTTTAAACAGAAACACATCAAATACCAAGAATAATTCCTTTAACACTGAAGTACATAAAAATATAAAAATAAACCCTTTACCACTTAAATGTTGAAGTACATCAAAATATAAAAATACACCCTTTACCATTGAAATACATCAAAGTATAAACATAAACCTTTTAACAAAGAAATACATCAAAATACAAAATTGAACCCTTTACCACTGAAGTACATCAAAATATAAAATTAAATCCTTTAACACTGAAGTACATCAAAATATAAAATTAAATCCTTTAACACTGAAGTACATCAAAATATAAAACTAAATCCTTTAACACAGAAGTACATCAAAATATAAAACTAAATCCTTTAACACAGAAGTATATAAAAATATAAAATTAAGCCCTTTAACACAGAAGTACATAAAAATATAAAAAATAAGCCCTTTACTACTTAAATTCATCAAAATTCAAAAATAAATCTTTATTACACTGAAGTGCATCAAAATACAAAAATAAAATAGGCCTGATGCAAGCACTTGCATATAAAACCTTTTCAACAGTGAAACATTTAAGCAAATGCAGAATAAACCCTTAATTCTAGAGAATTACACGTAAAACACTTTATTATTAACATACGCTGACCATAATACACTAGAGATTTGTTTGTTTGTTGTGAATTACAAAGCCAAACAGTAGGCTGTCTGTGCTCTGCTCATCACAGGTATTGATCCCAATTTTTAGGGTTTTAAGCTTGCAGACTTACCTCTGAGCCACTGGAGAATATACTAAAGATTAAAAGGAGATCACATTTCAACACTCAATGAAATATCAAAATGCAAGCTCTTAAACAAAGAATAAACCATAATTGTACAGTTATAATTTAAAACATTGTACACATACAAAAAAAATCTCAATATACAAAGCAACATCCCAAACAATCTAAATCAGCAAAAAAAATAATAAAAACC